TCGCTGCTGTGCGATAATAGTTCTATAATCTCTATAACAAGTTTCTGGAAGAACATGATTTCATTCATCTTTCAGCTCGAGATTTTTTGAAATCAGGAGGGTCAAACAGTCTATGGGGCCTACCTGACGTGCATTTTCTGCATTTTCAATAAAAACAACTTCATTTCTTGAGTAGAAAGTGTAAATTTCAAAATAAAATGTAGAGAATTTTTGCTCTGGAATGTAAGAAATAATTTTTGTATCAGTTTGACTCAGCATAATCAGGAATAACAATAAATTATCATTCAATTGTTCATTGTCCATTCCTTTATTTAGTTTATTTATACGTTTCGGTAGATTAAGGATCACACTTGTTAAATGGTTGTTCCAAAAGTTTTACATCAAACATTTAGGTAGTATTACATATTTGTAGTTTCTTATGCATCCCCACTAAAAACTCATCGTCCATTTCTTCAAAAAATTACGTAAGACGATTAAAGTTGAAAAGCAGCTTTTCCTCAACGGTGAAAGCTTCGGTCTTGTGTCCATTCAATACTGATATACCTCAATGAATGAATAGGTGTTTCATTTCGTCATGTTATTTTGATATTAAAACACTTTTCTCTCTTCTTACGAAGACAGTTTTCTACTTCCACTCAATTATTATCCAATTATTGGTACACAAAAAGCAAAGACCCGACTCATCAAGCAGGCAAGCCAGGCCAATGAAAATCAAAGACAGGCATACGACCACAAAAACCTTCATAGGCTATCAAGTGCCAGCAACCTGTGAAGAAAATAAGAATATTTTCATCTCTGCCTGGAGTACTTGACATATCATAGAATCCAAAATGAACTTGACTATTATCCATAAAAGCCACTACTCAAAGCCATCCGATCCTCGGAATCCTTGGATATCTATAATACTGCCATACCCTATAGACGGATATTCGAACGATCTCAATTTCAATGTCGTTTCGCGTCTTGATGTTGTCGACATCTTCCAAACTGATACATTCCCTTATGGACTGCAACATTCTCAGACCCAGACATTTCTACTGCCATGAAATCCATGGAGACCTTCGTTGCTGCTGAGAACCATTGTGTACACAACGGAGGTTTTCAGAACATACTCTTCTGTGCCGTTTCACACTTCCAGCGCATTTAGCATCCTTGGAATCATATATAATCCATCATGAACCACAAGGCCCTGTATATCATATATTTCTTGATCACCTACAATCTATCATAAGCTATCGAAGACCTATACTAACAACAGCCGCTGCCAGGATATCACGATTTGAACGGGTTGCCACTTCGAATTCCTTTGGAATCCCAGCAATCTGATACAATCGATCATGACCCATCATATTCTCCTTACACCATACTCTTTCCTATCATCTCACGATTCGAACATGTGGTATCCTCCAATACCTTAATAGTCACCAGCGACACTAACTAGGATACCACAATTCACAAGGTTTTCATCTTCAGCATCTTTTACAATCCTTCGAATCCGCAAGAATTCCTCACAATTTACAACATTCGAAATACCAGACATTGTTTCTATCATGGAATCCTTGGAATTCCTGCTTTCCTCCGAAAATAAAATGGTGACCGTAGAGATTTTAAGAAAGTCCCCAGTTGCATGGGTTCCCACTTCACGATCTTTTGGAATCCTTCGAGTCTGATAGAATTCATCATGATCTACAATATTCTAAATGACAGACTTTGTTTTCTATCATGGAACCCTTGGAATCTTTCGTATCGTGTGAAAGTCCTATGCCGATCATAGGGATTTTCAGGAGGTCCACTGTTGCATGAGATCCCACTTCACGATCTCTTGGAATCCTTCGAATCTGATAGAATTCATCGTGATCAACAGTATTCTAAATGCCAGACTTTGTTTTCTATCATGGAATCCTTGGCATCTTTGGTATCGTGTGAAAGTCCTATGTCAGCCATAGGGATTTTCAGGAGGTCCAGTGTTGCATGAGTTCCCACTTCACGATCTTTTGGAATCCTTCGAATCTGATAGAATTCATCATGATCTAGTATATTCGAAATACCACACTTTGTTTTCTGTCGTGGAATCCTTGGAATCCTTTGTATCGCGAGAAAGTCCTATGGAGACCATAGGGATTTTTAGGAGGTGCACAGTTGCATGGGTTCCCAGTTCATGATCTTTTGGAATCCTTCGAATCTGATAGAATTCATCATGATCTACAATATTCTAAATGCCAGACTTTGTTTTATGTCATGGAATCCTTCGAATCTTTGGTATCGTGTGAAAGTGCTATGTCGACCATAGGGATTTTCAGGGAGGTCCACTGTTGCATGGGTTCCCACTTCACGATCTTTTGGAATACTTCGAATCTGATGGAATGCATCATGATGTAGTATATTCGAAATGCCAGACTTTGTTTTCTCTCATGTTATCCTTGAAATCGGCGGGGAAAATCCAAGGTTTCCGTTTTGAGGAAAGTCAGCCAGGTCGTCGTAATGTTTTTGTTGTTTCCGTTTTTACGTGTGTTTAAGGGTTGGTAGTATAGAATGTGTGTTTTTACATCTAATTAAGGTTACTTTTATTTATTCTTCATGGTATAATTATAATTTAGTGTTAATTAATTTTTAGTTTCGTTAATTAATTAATTAATTACTTGGGTGAGTCGCTTATGAAAGTTTTTTAGAATGTTATTTGTATGTTTTTGGGTTCACTTTGGATTGGATTGAAGTTCGAATTTTTGGACTCTAGCATTTACGTTATCGACAACATAGAGATTACCGTGTCGATCGAATGACAAGCCGATGGGTCCATTGAGTTGGTTCGATTGTCCTCCCCTACCGTTTCTACCAACAATGACACTTCCTTGTGTGGCTCCTTTATGCCAACGCATGATTCGATTATTCCCCCAATCAGCCACATAGACAGTGCCTAATTGATCGACAACGACTCCTTGAGGAGATGACAATTGTGTAAGACCATTTCCTTTTTCTTGACCACCAGCCACGACAATGCCTTGTTTTGCACCTTCCATCCATTTCATCACACGATGATTTCTCTCATCAGATACGTACACTGAATGATCTCGATCGACGAATACGTATCGTGGGGAAGAGAGTTGATCGAGACGATTTCCACGTCCATTGCTACCTGCAACCACTGTTCCTTGAGATTCTCCTCTTCGATATCGTCTCACTTCATGTTTTCCAACATCAATGACATAGAGAGATCCATTCTCGTCCATTGTCAAACCCACACATAAGATGTTGGAGATGATTGTTTCTCCACTTGTCCTATTTGGACGAGGGCATCGAATCACTCTTCTATTCCAACGATCGCATATGATGAGACTATCTCTCTCTTTGTCGATAATCACATCATATGGGTTATTCAATTGATGATCTCCACTTCCTTGTCCATTTCCACCGGCAACCACTTGGCCATTCGTTGCACCTTGTTTCCATTCCACAATACGATGGTTCGCTCGATCAGCAACACATACAGTTTGATCATCATCAACGTACAAACCCAATGGGTCTGAGAGTTGATTGATTCCATTGCCTTTTCGATTTCCTCCAGCTACAGTGATACCATTTTGTTGCCATCGAGCATTCGGATGAATGTTGGTGCTGGATGGAGAACGTAATGGATAGTCTAAAATAGAGACAAGAAAAATTATTAAAATAAGAGAGAGAAATTTTCTTTGCATAGAAATTGGATTTTCTACAAGACGAGAAATAGTTTTTTACTCAAATTCTCAACTTTGTCAATAATGATTATTATTTTTAACTCTTTTTTTTGTTTATGTTTACGATGATAGAGATTTATGAGAAAGGTGAAGACATTGAATGAGAAATGTGGGTTTTCTTCTATGATTTTGCAACTAATTCATGTAGAAAAATCATGTAATAATCAAACTAGTTTTTGGATATGTTACGGATCATCTCTTTCTTGGAAGCATGTCTTTTATTAAATTGTATTGTTAATCAGTTGAATCTTTAACTACTAAATAAGATTACAAGAAATATTTTGCATAGTTAATCTTCTTCGTGATGAAATTATTAGTAGAAATAATCTCAAGATAAACTTTGCTGATCTATGAAAAGTCTCTGGAATTTTCAAACATTATTCTATGAAATATTTATGGCATATTTCTTGTTTTGCTTTGTTTGCAATTATCTCATCAAATTGTAAATGCGAGAAACATGTAACATTCATCCATGTGACTCGCTTTATCCTCGACTGAATATTCGGCTCTTTCGGTATTTTATACTTCTTTGTAGCTCTCAACAAAGCGATTACCCAACATTTGAAAAAGCACGTATGTGGATGCTGATACTGGTGTCAGTCTCCTGGTGCATGATGGTATGTGTGTCAATGTAAGAATTTTTGTCATAAACTCATCTCATCAAACTGGTATCCACACATCGATACTCAACAGAAATCTAAATGAACTATACACCATAGACAAAAGAGATTATATTCAATTTACGGAAAGGATCACGAACAAGGGGAAATCGACTGATTTAAGTCAACTAGAACTCAAAACTAAATCTGTTAAATCATCTTAACTCATTTTAAATCACATAAATCAGCTTAAACTCATTGTAACTCAGCATAAATCATTTTAAATCAGTATAGCTTTAAAAAATTCTTACAGTCGAAAGATATACTCGAACTTGATATTTTTGTTCAATCACTATTTAAGTTTTTTCAAATTATTTAATTAAAATCAAAAAATTCATACTAGCACACAGTCATTGGATATTTTCTTTATATCTTATAGCGTAGAATATATTTCTCTCTGTTCTACTAATATATAGAAAACATGTGATACAATTCACAATAAAATATTCTAACGAATGCTTTTTCGTTCTTATATAACTAGACTAGAATGAAACAGACAAAGAGAAAATTCAATCCATCTCGTGTATCTAGCTGAAATGAAGCGATCCACAATTTATATTATTTTTTTATCTGTTGTCGTTCTTTAGATCGATTATTTTCATCTGACCATCTTTGAGGCAACAACAAAATTTTTATTTCTCTTTTACGAATTCGAGAACCATATTCATAACTAAACCAAATAATAGTATTCAGTCAAATACAACGTAAAATATTATAATGCGTATCAAGCTAAGTTCAAGCGTCCATCTTTATGGATTTCTTCAAACATAGAAGAACTCAATTCGTCAGAAATCAGTTCACAGAAAATTCAATAGTGAGCTATTGTAGAAAGCATGATCAATTAAAAGAACAACATATTTACAGTTCTCATTCTATTAGAGAAAAGAAACAAGATATTATTATTGATCGTAATAGAACCCTATATTATTTATATTTCATTATGATTCCTTTTTTTATTAATGCACTTATTCATAATGTTCTATGGCGTATGCAGATATAGGTTTATAGATAAATACTTCTTTAATAACAGATTCTATTTTTCTGTGATCTTGTAGGTAATTATAAGCTTGACTATAATCAACATCAAGAATTTAGTTTAAAAATTTCAGGTTTTCTAATGGATTTAACATACGAAACACTCTTTTGGGGTAGAAATTTTATCAGGAATAAATTACTAGAAGAAACCGTAATGTTTTTCGAAGTTAGAAAGGCAGCTTATTATTCTGCTCTTTTATTGTACAACATTTTTTTAAAATAATTCTATATTTCAGATGGATTTTCTTCTTTCAGCTAATGCACTGTCGCTTCGTGGAGATGCTTTTTACTACTTGGTAGAAGATTTTTGTGGTAAAGAGGCCGTCGAATTACTTAAATTTCAGCTGATCGATTCTTCAATGGATTTGATTGAAGTCGATGATGTCTTCTCCATTCTTCAAATCGAATCAACTCAAACAACATCAATCAAAGAATTTTTGAGT